TCACAGTTCCCGAATTATTTTCATCATGGAAAAGAGCCAATAGCGAATTGAGCAATCATCCATTTGTTTATCCTTTGTTGACTATTAACTATGACATAAAGTGTTATCATTTTCTATCTTTTTTCAATACGTGAGGCATCCCGGTATGCTCACGTCATCAATTTTCCGCGTTCACCATAAACTCATATTCCAAACATTTTATTTATAACAAATGACAGGCGTTTTGATTGTTATCATTAGCCCTTTAATTGAATTCAGGCTTCGCAGAGGGGAAGGAACATCAAAGTGGAAAAGGTCGAGATGGGGGGGGGAGGGACAGAAGAGTGTTTCAAAGATGTAAAGGAGACAGACACAAAGGTAGAACAAAGGTGAGCTGAATACTGTGGAAGTAATCGAATATGACATACAATGGGGTCAGGGTAGTTTAAAGTCAGAGGTCAACTGCCAGTTTATAGACTTTTTTGCCGCATGAGAATACGTTGCCCAGGGTGCACCACGTGGAGGTAAGTCTATCGCATACCCCATATTCCAAACATAAAAAGCCCTTCTGTCGCCTTTCCACCTTTACTTTGAAAGGCTAAGATGAAGCATGTTTATTTTTAATTTAATTTGCTTGAACTCTAATAGTGAATTTTAATTTAAAAGGGGGAATTATAAAGAAAGGAAAAGTTCTGATAAAATGAAATATAGCCAAGTTCAGATTTTGCATACTATTGAATATCGATAGAGTGAGCGGATCTTTCATAATCAGAGAGGTCATTGTAAAGTTGGCTGGTGAGGTCAGCGCAATAAATCCAATCGTCTTGTCACTTTTGATCCTTAGTGAACCTTCTTTGCCCACTCAAATGAGCATCTTTTTTGTTTTTTTTTGTAGAATCATCTCCGGTTTCGGCGATTGAGAGCACTCTCAGTGAAATCGCAAATATATCCAAAGGAGGAAGTCTAGTTCGTTCAAAATAATCAAAGAACCTCACTGAGTTCTTGAAAACATTTTTTATCCCATTTTGAATCCCAAGCAAATATAATGTTTAACCCATGAATTGCTGAAATTTGTGCAATTGTTGATATTTCATTGAGGTTAAGGAAATGAAAGCATAAAATTGAGTTAAATATGAGATAGTGACAAGGTTCTGCTTTAGGCACTAAAATTTCTTTATGAAGTCCATAACAGTAGACAAAATTGAAGCGTTGGCCTAAAGAAATCACAGAAATGATTTTTTTAAAAATCTATGTCTATCGGAGAGTTTTCAATCAATATTGAATAGTAAAAATTGACCAGAGTCTCTATTATGGTTGATTACCACTTGCTACGAGAATATTTTATACATGTGGAGTTTGAGTGGAAAGTACTTATTTCAAATGGCCGGCGTTATTATAGTTATTATGAGCCCTTTAGCTGACTTCGGGCTTCACAGAGGGGAAGGAAAGTGAAAGTCGAGAGAGGGGTGGGAACAGAAGAGTGTTTCAAAAAATTTCTAGAGGGGGAACAGAAGATTGAATCACAGATGAAAAAAGGCAGACAGCCACAAAGGTAGAGAAAAAGGTTGGGTGAGTACTGTGAAGGGGTCGAATATGACATACAATGGGGTCATGGCAGTTTGAAGTCAGAAGTCAACTGCCGGTTAATAGACTTTTTTGCCGTATGAGTATACGTTCCCCAGGGTACTTCACGTGGAGGTAAGTCTACCACACACCTCGTGCTCAAATTAGCAAGCGCGGCATTTTTCGTATTTCTTGCATTGTACTTTTATTTTATTCGTCAATACGCAATTACAATTTTTTGATTAAATCATTCGTAAAGCCAATTAGGCTTGATGTCAGGGTTGTCGAATACATAGAAGTATTCAGTTAAATCTACTGGGAATTATTTCGAAAACGTAACAAATTATTAAGAATATATAAATAACTTCTAACACATTTTAAAACTGATGGCTAATTACCATTTGAGAATAATTTGATTAATTTTTACCATTATATATTTTATCATACTTCTTGAACTAAACTTGTTGCTATAATTCCTTATTGAATTACCTTAGAGCCCGGATCAGATTAAGTTAGTTATCCCGTCGTATTATGATTAATCTTAAAAGGCCCCCCCCCTCCCTCCACCACTTGATAAGATCAGGAGTTCAGCAAGGCTACGTCCAGATTGGAAAAAGGAGAAACGAATAAGAGAGAGGAAATGAGGAGGGAATAGAAAGTGTAGTAGAAAGGAAGTTAGAAAGCGTCCATTGTAGACAAGCGGAGTTGTGAGGGCTAATAGAGCGGTTGGTGCGTCTTGTGTTTGTTGATGTGCAACACACAATGAGGACAGGAGCATGAGTCTATAGGTACTCATTGGATGACGGACTGAGTAGGCATGAGTCTACGTGCACTGGTTCTACATATCTCTCTTCCAGTCCTATCCACACTTCGAGTATGTATAGCCATTATCACCCATTTATCTAATTATGTTTTACGTTATAATATGTTACTTGAGATCTGGTCACACAGATATTCTGGGGGTGATAATGAGATGAAAAATCCTGGAAGGCGCATGGTTAAGATGTCTGATAATACAACAGTCCGAACTTTATTGAAGAATAGGTAAATTGATTATTTAGTATTGATCAACAGAGATCTTTTGGAGTGCAGTTCCCTAAACTGGCATTTTTATGGCATAATAATAACGGCTTAATGCTCACATTTCATCAAATAATTTATTTATATCAAAAGACAGGCGTTTTGATAGTTATCATTAGCCCTTTAGTTGACTTCAGGCTTCACAGAGAGGAAGGAACATCAAAGTGGAAAAAAAGTCGAGGGGGGTGGGGGAACAGAAGAGTGCTTCAAAGACGAAGGTAGAAAAAAGGTGAGATGAGTACTTTGGAAGTAGTCGAATATGGCATACAGTGGGATCATGGCAGTTTGAAGTCAGAAGTCAACTGCCCATTGATAGACTTTTTTGCCGTATGAATATACGTTGCCCAGGGTGCACCACGTGGAGCTTTCTATTTTGTACTTCATATAGATTTTTAATTAGTAGTATAGTGCAATACTCACTGCTTAAGTTTCATAATATAAGCCATGCATTGAGTATGCAAATAATTCTATCGGATGAATTTAATTGACCAAACAGATAATTGATCGGAATTTTTACGCGAGAAGTTGTATATCTTCATTTAGTATGTGTCTTCTTTCTTAAAATTGGTGGAGAATTTTGATTGTAGGATCCTAAACCCTCTTTTCAACAGACTCAATGGCTCGAAATTTTCAAAAATAAGGAAACAAATCACTTTGTTTACTTGATTGCCTTCGATTCAATGTCAGTTTAACTTAACAAAACAAAAAATTTGAATATTGTTCAAATACAAACATTCCTCAAACGGTCATTTTTAACGATCCAATTAATCAAATGTGTTTTTTAATGGATAGGAGTGAATTGAAGGTTAACTTGAGTGCACTTAAACAAAGCGCTGACAATAAATCTAACGGGCGGAATTCAAGCTCTATTGTATTTCATATTTCAGTGATTCAAAGTTATCCTTGTAACTGGTACAGCCCAATAAATGCAGAGTAGAATGGGAATTCTTTTGTGAAGAAATCTTGAACGCCAACATTCAACGCTATTTCGGGAAATAAAATCAGTACTAAACAAAATAAGACCACGATTCTTCATTAATATTGCTTATAAGGGGGCAATAATATTGTTATAAAACAATTGAAATAGGAAAGCCGTACAATGAGGTCACGGATACCCTAGTTTTTGTTAGAAAGAGACAATAAGAGTATAATTGAACGATTCTGGTTGGAAGAGAAAAATTGATTGCATTTGCCCTTCAGACGTCTTTGACATTTAAGAGGATGAAAGCTATTGGGTGAATTTATCCTCGAATTAATGTCATAAGCATGACATTTATAATTGAGATGATGGCTGGAGAGAATATACAGGATTCTCAATAGAAATAAGTAAAATTTGTTTGGGGATCTTCGCACAGTCTGAGTACCAACAACGTCAAATAACATTGGACGTAACGGGTGTGGGATAGACTTACCTCCAAGTGGTGCTCCCTGGGCAACGTTTACTCATACGGCAAAAGTCTATTAACAGGCAGTTGACTTCTGACTTCACACTACCATCACCCCACTGTGTCATATTGGACTACTTTCACAGTACTCACCTTACCCTTTTCTCTGCCTTTGTGTTCGTCTCTTTTGCATCTTTGAAACACTCTTCTATTCCCTCCAGCTTTCGAATTTTTCACTTTGATGTTCCTTCCCCTCTGTGGAGCCCGATGTCAGCTAAAGGTTAATGATAACTATCAAAACGCCTGCCATTTGAAATATATATATATATATATATATATATATATATGTCGATCTTCAAAAGTGAACCTGTACACTAGAACTTTATAGTATTTGACTTCAATCATTTGGTAATAAATTGCGGGGGTTATTTCGCATAAATATTGAGATTTTGAATGCAAATTTTTGCCGTCTCTATCTCTGATTTCAACAAATGTTCGTCTGCTTTGGTCATTGACCGCTTCAACTTATTTCCCGTCCGCAGTGAGAGAAAGTAAAACCATCCTTTATGATATTCAGCAGCTTAGAATTTCAACACGACAGGAAAGTCCATTTTTATCCTATTTCGTGAATTTTTATGCATTTTTCAAATTTAATTCATAGAATGATGGTCTATATCTGATCCTATGTGCGTACTTATGATTCTTTGTGATCGAGACGTTCAGTTAATACCAATTTTTTTAACTCCTGAGACAGTATTTCATATCCCCTCCAAAATCTTCACTTTTAAATAAAAAAATATGTTTTAGTGTTTTTTTCAAAATAATAATTAAATTGGACAGTGAATTCTTGATTTTCATTTAAACTGCATAAAATAAAAGAGGAATGACATTAAAGATCACGCAATGGCAATGAAAAATTTTGATAGGTAAGCATGACAGTCAATTGTAATTCTCTTAAGTCATAATGACAATGGCTGGTGCTATTGTTCTGATTTAGTAGTAGTAATGCGGACGCTTTCTACGCCATCGCAAGCCATTGGCGAAGATGTCACTGTCAAGAGCTGATCTGCGAACAAATTTGAGCGGTAAAAGTGAGATATTTTCTTCCATAGGCTCATCCACCTCTCCTCCCTCATTTTCTCTAAGCCATTCTCTCACTAATTGCCGATCTCCTCCTGTTCCCTTTATGGACTTGGCATTAAGCTCCACAACTGAAAGCGCCAAAGCAACGAGAAACAATTCGGCCCACTTTCTACTGAAGCTCATTGTGTGTCTAAGAAAATTAGAAAAAAAAATTATGCACTATAAGCAAATTCAGCAATATCTTCCATCTTGTACATATGAGTGCAAAAAAACAATCGGATTTAATTTTTTCCTGAGATAGTCAGAATTTGATAATGGGAAAAACAATTCACTGTGACATATAAAACAGAAATCTTAATCTCTTCTGTTTCATTGGTTGGTCTAAGATTAATTAATAAGAATAAGTGGCAGATTATTTCTTTATGAAAAATTTTGAATGTCCTGAGTTCTTTAAATATTTAGAAAAGAAATGATAAAATGCAATAACTTAAATTTTATTAATTATTTATAGAATGTTTTTTTCCGATTAGCTCTTCAAAAAAGTAAAAAGCACTTCTTTCTCCAGTGTAAGTCTAAAATTAAAAAGCTCTAAGTAATATTGAAATCTAGTGTGTTATGAGTTTCTAGTTAATAACTTTGACCTCTGGTTATTCAGAGGAAATTTCCTACCCCTTAAAAGCTTCGAAAAGTAAAGTAAAAATTTTAAATTTTAAATTGTTTGCTATTTTGATAAAGTAAGTTTAATCGTTAAGAAAATTTGAGATTAAATATTAT